ACAAGAGAGTAAGGTGTTTTATTGAACAGATAAACTCATTTGTATCTCTCCAACAGAGTTCACTGTAAAGATTATCTATTGTGAAGATTGTTACGTTCCACGTGTATTTGTGTGTGTGTTTCTGTTCTGTCTCCATTCATTACTTTCAGGTGGTGACCGAGCATTGGCTGTTTGCGGGCACGTGACGTCATTGTGGGGGCGTCATCATCTGTTCGACCAATCCATTGCTGTGCCATGAGTTTAAAAGGCCCATCCACAACTAGGAAGACAGATCCTCGCCAGATCTCACCCAACTTGCGCGTTCTGAGCACATTGTCGAAACCACTACCACGATTCACGCTTATTGTCTTTATTGTTGTTGATTTGAGTAAATGCTTTTGCCTGACCTGAGTTTTAGTAAGACACTAAAAGATGCCTAGCCGATCCGCTTACATCTGGAGCATTGAGTTCTCTGTTGCGAAATCATATGACGGGAGGTAGGAATCATTGTTGTGTTAGGTATGCGTGGAGTGTTCGCCATTCTTGTATTTCTGTTTTTATTTAGTGTAGTTTAATTAAGGCGGCGTATTCCGCTGAAGAACTCGGTTTTGTTTCTATTTTTCTTTTGTGGCAGTTAGTTTAACGGGTACACTTAAAATTAGATATCAGTTATGTTTTGCTTATTTCAATAATTTGGCGACACTCTTGTCTTTGTTTTCTCGTGTATTATTTTTCTTTCTGAACAATCTTGTTATTTAATTTAGGTGAACATGTTTAAAGCTTTCATTCAAAGAGAATAAACGTTTTCTCTTAACGTTTAATTGAAGTTTCTTGGTTGTTCTTCCTGCATCCACACACATCAACAGTGTCTCACATAAATGTTATGTATTCATCCCCTTATACATCTTTAAACACGTAACAAGATCATTTCATTATGGTTGTTGTGCTGGAGTTTATTCTTAAGGACGTATCGTGTCTATTAATGAGTAAAACTACAGTAACTCTTCAGCTTCAGCTTGAGATCTTTCATCTAAACTGGTTATATCTCTAGCAGTGAATGTTTATGAACAGCAGGAGAATCATATTCATCCTCAGAGCCGAAGCACAACCACAATATTCATCCGCTCGGAGCCGAAGCACAACCACAATATTCATTCGCTCGGAGCCGAAGCACAACCACAATATTCATCCCCTCGGAGCCGAAGCACAACCACAATATTCATCCTCAGAGCCGAAGCACAACCACAATATTCATCCGCTCGGAGCCGAAGCACAACCACAATATTCATCCGCTCGGAGCCGAAGCACAACCACAATATTCATCCTCAGAGCCGAAGCACAACCACAATATTCATCCGCTCAGAGCCGAAGCACAACCACAATATTCATCCGCTCGGAGCCGAAGCACAACCACAATATTCATCCGCTCGGAGCCGAAGCACAACCACAATATTCATCCGCTCGGAGCTGAAGCACAACCACAATATTCATCCGCTCGGAGCCGAAGCACAACCACAATATTCATCCCCTCGGAGCCGAAGCACAACCACAATATTCATCCGCTCGGAGCCGAAGCACAACCACAATATTCATCCGCTCGGAGCCGAAGCACAACCACAATATTCATCCGCTCAGAGCCGAAGCACAACCACAATATTCATCCGCTCGGAGCCGAAGCACAACCACAATATTCATCCGCTCGGAGCCGAAGCACAACCCCAATATTCATCCGCTCGGAGCCGAAGCACAACCACAATATTCATCCTCAGAGCCGAAGCACAACCACAATATTCATCCGCTCGGAGCCGAAGCACAACCACAATATTCATCCGCTCGGAGCCGAAGCACAACCACAATATTCATCCGCTCGGAGCTGAAGCACAACCACAATATTCATCCGCTCGGAGCCGAAGCACAACCACAATATTCATCCGCTCGGAGCTGAAGCACAACCACAATATTCATCCGCTCGGAGCCGAAGCACAACCACAATATTCATCCGCTCGGAGCCGAAGCACAACCACAATATTCATCCTCAGAGCCGAAGCACAACCACAATATTCATCCGCTCAGAGCCGAAGCACAACCACAATATTCATCCGCTCGGACCCGAAGCACAACCACAATATTCATCCGCTCGGAGCTGAAGCACAACCACAATATTCATCCGCTCAGAGCCGAAGCACAACCACAATATTCATCCGCTCGGAGCTGAAGCACAACCACAATATTCATCCGCTCGGAGCCGAAGCACAACCACAATATTCATCCGCTCGGAGCCGAAGCACAACCACAATATTCATCCGCTCGGAGCTGAAGCACAACCACAATATTCATCCGCTCGGAGCCGAAGCACAGCCACAATATTCATCCGCTCGGAGCCGAAGCACAACCACAATATTCATCCTCAGAGCCGAAGCACAACCACAATATTCATCCGCTCAGAGCCGAAGCACAACCACAATATTCATTCGTTTGGAGCCGAAGCACAACCACAATATTCATCCGCTGAGAGCCGAAGCACAACCACAATATTCATCCGCTCAGAGCCGAAGCACAACCACAATATTCATCCGCTCGGACCCGAAGCAAAACCACAATATTCATCCGCTCAGAGCCGAAGCACAACCACAATATTCATCCGCTCAGAGCCGAAGCACAACCACAATATTCATTCGCTCGGAGCCGAAGCACAACCACAATATTCATCCGCTGAGAGCCGAAGCACAACCACAATATTCATCCGCTCAGAGCCGAAGCACAACCACAATATTCATCCGCTGAGAGCCGAAGCACAACCACAATATTCATCCGCTCAGAGCCGAAGCACAACCACAATATTCATCCGCTCGGAGCCGAAGCACAACCACAATATTCATCCGCTCAGAGCCGAAGCACAACCACAATATTCATCCGCTCGGAGCCGAAGCACAACCACAATATTCATCCGCTCGGAGCCGAAGCACAACCACAATATTCATCCGCTCAGAGCCGAAGCACAACCACAATATTGATCCGCTCGGAGCCAAACCACAACCACAATATTCATCCGCTCGGAGCCGAAGCACAACCACAATATTCATCCGCTCGGAGCCGAAGCACAACCACAATATTCATCCGCTCGGAGCCGAAGCACAACCACAATATTCATCCGCTCAGAGCCGAAGCACAACCACAACCACAATATTCATCCGCTCAGAGCCGAAGCACAACCACAATATTCATCCGCTCGGAGCCAAAGCACAACCACACCACAATATTCATCCGCTCAGAGCCGAAGCACAACCACAATATTCATCCGCTCAGAGCCGAAGCACAACCACAATATTCATCCGCTGAGAGCCGAAGCAAAACCACAATATTCATCCGCTCAGAGCCGAAGCACAACCACAATATTCATCCGCTCAGAGCCGAAGCACAACCACAATATTCATTCGCTCGGAGCCGAAGCACAACCACAATATTCATCCGCTCGGAGCCGAAGCACAACCACAATATTCATCCGCTCGGAGCCGAAGCACAACCACAATATTCATCCGCTCAGAGCCGAAGCACAACCACAATATTCATCCGCTCGGAGCCGAAGCACAACCACAATATTCATCCGCTCGGAGCCGAACCACAACCACAATATTCATCCGCTCGGAGCCGAAGCACAACCACAATATTCATCCGCTCTGAGCCGAAGCACAACCACAACCACAATATTCATCCGCTCAGAGCCGAAGCACATCCACAATATTGATCCGCTCGGAGCCAAACCACAACCACAATATTTATCCGCTCGGAGCCGAAGCACAACCACAATATTCATCCGCTCAGAGCCGAAGCACAACCACAACCAAAATATTCATCCGCTCAGAGCCGAACCACAACCACAATATTGATCCGCTCGGAGCCAAACCACAACCACAATATTCATCCGCTCGGAGCCGAAGCACAACCACAATATTCATCCGCTCGGAGCCGAAGCACAACCACAATATTCATCCGCTCGGAGCCGAAGCACAACCACAATATTCATCCGCTCAGAGCCGAAGCACAACCACAATATTCATCCGCTCGGAGCCGAAGCACAACCACAATATTCATCCGCTCAGAGCCGAAGCACAACCACAATATTCATCAGCTCGGAGCTGAAGCACAACCACAATATTCATCCGCTCGGAGCCGAAGCACAACCACAATATTCATCCGCTCGGAGCCGAAGCACAACCACAATATTCATCCGCTCGGAGCTGAAGCACAACCACAATATTCATCCGCTCAGAGCCGAAGCACAACCACAATATTCATCCGCTCAGAGCCGAAGCACAACCACAATATTCATCCGCTCGGAGCTGAAGCACAACCACAATATTCATCCGCTCAGAGCCGAAGCACAACCACAATATTCATCCGCTCAGAGCCGAAGCACAACCACAACATTCATCCGCTCGGAGCTGAAGCACAACCACAATATTCATCCGCTCGGAGCTGAAGCACAACCACAATATTCATCCGCTCGGAGCCGAAGCACAGCCACAATATTCATCCGCTCAGAGCCGAAGCACAACCACAACAATGTTCTTCCGCCGAATACATGCAGTTTTGTTTTTAACCCCTAGAGGGACAAAAGTTACATTGTGTATCAATAAGTTAAAATGACACTTATTTTTGAATGTTCTCTGAATGTTTTTTTCTTTGTCATTCAATTAATCCAAAATGATGTGAACGTTACTTTTGAATGTTCTTTGAATACATGTAGTAACAGTTAAAAAACATTAGACGAACATCCAGCTAAATATTAATGCAAAAAAAATTTTTTTAATTAACGGTGTATAAATAACGTTTTTGTGCAAATGTTTTGAGAACATTATTAAATACCAGATAACTTTCACCAAATGTTCTTTTAACGTTGCTGGAAGAACGTTTGCTCATAACTTTGAGAGAACCTTATAAACACAGTCACCTATTGACATTTCATTGACAGTCTCTGCAATCCCAGAGAAAGAGCCAATGGAACTATATGAAATGGCATTCTGCATATGGCTTGAATGACTGTATTTTCCCGTCAGTAATAATCTGAGATATGTTAGTCAGTGGTTGCATTGGTTTGAGTAAACAGACTCGGACCCACTGAAAATCAGCACCTGCTCCATCACTCTTTTCTAGTCCTTTGAATATCTCTGTTTGTTTACATTGCTCATTTGCATAGACTGGGCTGAAGCTGTATCCTGATTGGCTGCTGAGCGGAGCTTTGAGTGACAGCAGGCAAATACAATCAAATGAAGCATCTGTTCAATCGCAGCAAAGATATGGACAAAAAAGGGCATATTTTAGTTTCTTCTCTGCTATAGGACCAGAGAACCCCGGACCTGTGCACTCTATCTGGACTAAACACACCCGTTTTAATCTATCTGAGGAGAGCCTTCTTCAAACATCACCGTTTGGACTTCAAGGTAACTATTCAAACTTAAAATTAATGTTGCTTTAACAATATTCAACTGAAATTAAAACTATTTTACATTGAGCTAAATATAATAAAACATTCAGTAGTGGGCAAAAGTGATACCTGGCCTAGGAAATAGACATATTCACACTTTATTCAAATATTATTATAAATGTGTTAAAGATTTTGTCAACATATTGCGTACTTGTGCTTTGAGTCAATTGTTTTCTATGTGATAATAACGTAATGAAACATTGTGCAACAATTTTTGGCCACATGCAAAAACAAGAGTGAACCAACTAAATATTAATAACTGATTATGTTTGCTTTTTCCTGGCAGCTTTTTGTTTTTCTATGCAATTTTCATTAAAAAAAAATTGCATAGTAAAATAAAACATGTTGTAGTTTTTCCCTTTTCTTACCAAATAATTTTGTCAGATAAACCTTAACCAAGTTTAGTGTTTTGTTCTTCCCTCATACATTTTTTTTTGTTTGTTGAAATAATCTAAAATATTTCCTCATATTTTGATGGTTCATTAAATTTGTAGAGTCATTAAAAACAAATCTCCCCTCCGGACATCACTTTTACTTCTTCAACATGAAGGAAGGTCTAATGATAGTGAATTAAAGGTGTGTGTTCTGTGTGGTGTGTGTTTTATTGTTTGTGTTGTTAGTGTTGAAAGATGCAGCAAACGTTCCGAGCCGTCACACACTCCCCAGGAACACTCATCTGGAGGATCGAGGTGGGTTTCATCGGTGAAAGAATCATTTAATACATAATCTACTGAAGAAACGTATGCATGAAGAATGTTTTCGCTGCTGTTGATCTTTTGATCAAGCATATTATAAAGACATTTTTAAATTCCCACTCAATACAGCCTGCAATGTGCAGTTTGCATATATAATGTACGAGAATATAAGCCAACTATTGTATTAATGATGGGATGTACAGTATGGGAAACTTGTTTGGGAAATGTCCCGCCCCTTTCCATAACCGCCAGTTTAACACACTACTAACTAACTCAACCAGGCCCCGCCCCTTAATTCTGCGTATGAATTATTATAATGAGGAATATTGTGACGTGTTCGTTTCCGGGAGAAACTCAAGACTACAATGGAGGCGTTTCGGGAGTTCAGGAACACTGACACTGATATAGAGGAGAACTGGAGCTTGTTCATGATCAAACAGCAACATCACACACTAAACACAGATGGAGAAAAGCTGAATATTTGCTCTTTAAGGATCAATTCTTCTCTGAAGCTCATTTCATTTTCCATTTTTCATTTGCCATTAGGAGTGTGAATACTTTATCAGGCCTCTTTCCTTATTCTGGATTTTTTCTCTGGTGTTCTTATGAAATGCAGTAAAGCTTAATTTTTACAATATTGAATGCAAGTGAATACCAATTAAAGGAGTAGGCAAGGCAAGGCAAGGCAAGTTTATTTATATAGCACATTTCATACACAATGGTAATTCAAAGTGCTTTACATAGAAGAAATTAAAATAATCAAAACAAATAATAATAATTACAACAGTTTAGAATAAAAAATAAAGTTCAGTAAAAACAGTCGGACGAACAGTGGCACAGTGCTCATTCAGTAAATGCATAGCTAAACAGAAGTGTTTTGAGTCTGGATTTGAATGTGACTACTGTAGGAGCACATCTGATCTCCTCTGGAAGCTGTTCCAGTATAATAGCTAAAAGCAGACTTAGAGTGAACCCTTGGTATTTCTAGCTGATGTGATCCTAATGATCTGAGTGATCTGTTGGGTTTATATTCAGTGAGCATATCTGCAGTATATTGAGGTCCTAGCCCATTGAATGATTTATATACCAGTAATAATACTTTAAAATCAATCCTAAATGTAACTGGGAGCCAGTGTAAAAAAACTGGTGTGATGTGTTCATATTTTCTGGTTCTGCTCAGGATCCTGGCAGCAGCGTTCTGTATGAGCTGCAACTGTCTTATGGTCTTTTTAGGAAGGCCAGTGAGGAGTCCATTACAGTAATCCACCCTGCTGGTGATGAAAGCATGCACAAGTTTCTCTAAGTCTTGATTGGAAACAAAGCATCTAATTCTTGAAATATTTTTCAGATGATAGTATGCAGATTTAGTTATTGCTTTGACATGACTACTGAAACTAAGGTCTGACTCTAGAGACACACCAAGATTCCTCACTTGTTTTTTAGTTGTTAGACCCCTAGAGTCAAGGTATGCATTCACCTTGAGAACTTCATCTTTGTTTCCAAACGCAATGACTTCAGTTTTTTGACTTCACTTTTGTGACTTCACTTCGGCACATTCAACTGTTGACTTCATCAATGCATTGGCACAGGGAGTCAATGGGGCTGTAGTCGTTAGGCGATAGGGCTAAGTAGAGCTGTGTGTCGTCTGCATAGCTGTGGTAAGAGATTGGGTTCTTTCTCATTATTTGGCTCATTGGGAGCATATATAGGTTGAATAGGAGTGGTGCAAGAATTGAGCCTTGTGGGACTGAGCCCACGCATAAATGCTGAGACTAGCCTTAGTTTACCCAGGGGGATTTCATCCAACTCTCTATGAGCGGCAATAGCAGCAACGTATACTCTCAGAGTGGTAGCGGGCGCTCCAGAAGCAAACTTCTCCTGTAGGAACTCCAGCACTGAACCCACCGGGCAGCTGACTGGATCCATAGCATGTGTCAAACACCATGACTCAAAAACCTTCCACTTGGAGGAATACAGCCTTCTCGTGGAAAGGGCTCTCGCATTCGCAATGGTCTCCTGGACGTCAGCGGGAAGACCAAAGCTCAAAGCTAGCGGCCTCTGATGGGCCATATACGCATAGGTGCCAAATGTCAGGGTGAGGATGCCATACCCTGCCCTGAAGCTGCAGATCCTCCCTGACCAGAATCTGGGAGCCCAGAAGAGGAGCTAACTCCGAGAACCATGGCTGGGACGGCCAGAATGGGGCTACAAGTAGGAGACGGGTTCCACTTTCTCTCACCCTGGACAGAACCGCTGGATCAATTTGACAGCCGGGAATGCATAAAGGTTCTGCATCGGCCATGGGTGGGTGAATGCATCTATTCCCAACGGTGCTGGGGGGCTCAGGGAGAACCAAAGTGGGCATTGGGACGACTCCTGTGATGCAAAGAGGTCCACTTCCGCTTTTCCGAACACGTCCCAAATCAGGGCTACTGTTTGACGGTTCAACATCCACTCCAGATTGTGTACATTTATGTACATTTTATGGTTAGTGATGTCACTATCCCGGGAGGAAGCTCGTGTAGTTCCTACCAGCAGTTTGTTGTAGTCCTTAAAAAGCGATTTCTGTAAAAGTAAATCTCTCCCTTTGGTTTGGACTTTGAACGTTGTAACTTTGCAGATGTTGTTTATGCTCAAACAGCAACACTACACACTAACTACAGTTAGAAAAGGGAAATCATAATCAACCACCCCTTTAAATCAAAGATTTTGGACAATGTTTTCTAGCCAATTTCACTGATTTTCTTTTCTCCAGAAAATGGATCTTGTTTTGGTCCCGGAAAAGTTCCACGGCCAGTTCTATGACGGAGACTGTTATCTGCTGCTCTCGGTGAGTGTGCTCTTCAGATTCTGCAGATGCGTTTCAGCGCTGACTCAGGAATGCAGTTGCAGCTTCATGGTTTTGTCTCTGGTTTCAGACCCGTAAAACTGGCGGATCCGTGTTCTACGACATCCACTTCTGGCTGGGCTCGATGTGTTCGGTGGACGAACAGGGATCCGCCGCGGTCTACGCCGTTCAGCTCGACGAGTTCCTCGGCTCTTCTCCGGTCCAACACCGGGAGGTTCAGGCCCACGAGTCCAGCATCTTCTGCGGATACTTCAAACAGGGCATCATGTAGGAGTCTCTCTCTCACACACACACACACAACACATATACACACACACACACACACACACACACACACACACACACACACACACACACACACACACACACACACACACACACACACACACAGCTTTGTTTTTGTGATATATGAGGACATTCCATAGGCGTAATGACTTTTATACTGGACAAACTGTATATTCTATCCCCCTACACTGCCCCTATCCCTAAACCTACCCATCACAGGAGACATGCTGCATTTTTACATAAAAAAAACCCATTGTTTTTTATGTTTTTTAAGCTATTTGAAATATGAGGACACATGCAATGTCCTCATATATCACGTGTAAGTTGTAATACCAGTGTAATATGCATGTCATTATACACATTTGTGTCCTCATTTATCACAAAAACAAACACACACACACACACACACACACACACACACACACACACACTCACTTATTTTAGGTATGATCAGTACTGAACACTGATGAAGAACTGAACTCAATGATCAGTGGTGTGTTTCGTTTGAGTGTGTGTGTGTGTGTGTGTGTGTGTGTGTGTGTGTGTGTGTGTGCGTGCGTGCGTGCGTGCGTGTGTGTGTGTTTTAGTGCATGAAGACAACAGATATATGTGTTTATATCCAGTTATAAGTCAGGAGGAGTGTCATCAGGAATGAGCCATGTGGAGACGAACACGTACGACATTCAGAGGCTTCTGCACGTGAAGGGGAGGAGAAAGGTGACCGGCACTGAGGTGAGGATCTGGCACACACACACACACACACACACTTCCTCACAACACAGCAATAGTTCCTCTCAGGACCTTCAGGACAAGAATGTCCCCATTGAAACCCATCAAAAAACTGCCATTTTTAACCCTGGGCCATTTAAATATAAAATAATGCCATCTTTGTTAATAGGCTCATTCTGTTGGCAAGGCTTCAAAATTTTAGAAAACAATACTATTTTTTCCCAGACGGGCCATTTCCTCAGGTTTGGCCTGTAAAGCAAATACTCACTGTATTCCTGTTTTCTGCTTCTGCATATTATAGAGCCAGTTGGATAAATTATGCAGTGATAATTGTGTGTGTGTCTTGTAATATTTGAGAGAGAAAAGCTCTGGGTTTCACCTCATCTAACGGGGGAATCTGGCCCTGCGCTCACACACACTCACACACTCACACACACTCACACACACACACACACTCTTACTGAACGCTCACACACTCACACTGAACGCTCACACACTCACACTGAACGCTCACACACTCACACTGAACGCTCACACACTCACACTGAACGCTCACACACTCACACACACTCTCACTGAACGCTCACACACACTCACACACTCACACACACTCTCACTGAACGCTCACACACACTCTCACTGAACGCTCACACACTCACACTGAACGCTCACACACACTCACACACACACTCTCACTGAACGCTCACACACTCACACTGAACGCTCACACACTCACACACACACTCTCACTGAACGCTCACACACTCACACTGAACGCTCACACACTCACACTGAACGCTCACACACTCACACACACACTCTCACTGAACGCTCACACACTCACACTGAACGCTCACACACTCACACTGAACGCTCACACACTCACACTGAACGCTCACACACTCACACACACTCTCACTGAACGCTCACACACTCACACTGAACGCTCACACACTCTCACTGAACGCTCACACACTCACACTGAACGCTCACACACTCACACTGAACGCTCACACACTCACACTGAACGCTCACACACTCACACACACACTCTCACTGAACGCTCACACACTCACACACACACTCTCACTGAACGCTCACACACTCACACTGAACGCTCACACACTCACACTGAACGCTCACACACTCACACTGAACGCTCACACACTCACACACACTCTCACTGAACGCTCACACACTCACACTGAACGCTCACACACTCACACACACTCTCACTGAACGCTCACACACTCACACTGAACGCTCACACACTCTCACTGAACGCTCACACACTCACACTGAACGCTCACACACTCACACTGAACGCTCACACACTCACACACACTCTCACTGAACGCTCACACACACTCACACACTCACACACACTCTCACTGAACGCTCACACACACTCTCACTGAACGCTCACACACACTCTCACTGAACGCTCACACACACACTCACACACACACTCTCACTGAACGCTCACACACACTCTCACTGAACACTCTCACACACTCTCACACGCTCTCACACACACTCTCACTGAACGCTCATTTGTTGAGATATCAACCTCACATTTGGAGCACAAGTTGTTTAGATTCATGGCTTTGATTTTCTATCAGTGTTAGAGTTCTAAATGTTTCATAAAATATACATTTTATATAAAATAATGTTCTAAATAATTTTCATAAACAAACCTATATAACTTTTTATTTGGTTTTACTTTTTAAACTTGTTTTACTTCAACAATAATCTGCAGACGGTTTTTCTTCAAACTTCACATTTTTATGACAGGTTTTTGGCTATGGACCTGTGTTTCACTCTTAATTGATGCACAAGTGTTAAAATCATTCAGACTATAATTCTCAGGCTATAAATGATGAAATATTGTGCAGGTGGAAATGAGCTGGAAGAGCTTTGACACTGGGAGCGTGTTTCTGTTGGATCTGGGAAAGACCATTATCCAGTGGAACGGCCCGGAGAGCAACACACAAGAGCGTCTGAAGGTTGGCAGCTTATATGTATATATATACTGCATATATATAGAGAGATCATGTTTAATGCAGTTTGTGGTGGTCTCTCAGGGCATGATGTTGGCGAAGGACATCCGGGACCGTGAGCGGGGCGGTCGGGCAGAGATCGGCGTGATCGAAGGAGACGCCGAGGCCAGATCTGCTCTGCTGATGGAGGTTATGGTGGACATCATGGGTGAAAGGCCCTCAGAGCTGCCCCGCGGGACGCCCGACGAGATCTCGGACCGGGAGCAGATGAACAAGCTCACGCTCTATCAGTAAGAGCCCGCACACACACCGTCCTGCTTGGAAACATTACATGTGACCCTGGACCACAACACCAGTCACATGGGTCAGTTTGTGGAAATCGAGATTTACGCATGATCTGAAAGCGGGATAAATAAGCTTTCCATCGATGTATGGTTTGTTAGGATAGGATTTGGCCGAGAGACAACTATTTGAAAATCTGGAATCTGAGGGTGCAAACAAATCGAAACATTGAGAAGATCGCCTTTAAAGGTGCAGTGTGTAATATTTAGGAGGATCTGTTGACAGAAATGCAATATCATAAACATAACTGTGTGTTCAATGGTGTATAAAGAGCTTACATAATGAAGCGTTGTGTTTTATTATCTTAGAATGAGGCGTTTCTCTCTACACACACCGCGGGTCCGCTTACACCGACATGTTTCTACGGTGGCCCTGAGCGGACAAACACGTTTCGTCACTATGTTGTTCTCCGTGTAAAGAAGCTGCTAAAGTCAGCGAATAAAACACTGACACAATGATGAACGAGTAACAATAATATTCACAATAACATTGTTTTACTAATAATTAAGTAAACATCATTTCTTAAATGATCTTTGTAAAGAAACCTCATTGGTTAACTGGCTCCTCTCTGCTGTCTCAGATGACGACATCACTTCCTGTCGGCCACCGTAACTTCTGTTAGATGCAATTCACAACCTGACCACTAGATGCCGCTAAACATCACACAATGCACCTTTACAGTCCATTTATGTTGGCGATTGTGCTGCATCCACTCACGGAAATAAACATTTTATATATTTACGGTAGGAAATTTACAAAATATCTCCGTGGAACATGATCTTTACTTAATATCCTAATGATTTTTTGCATAAAAGAAAAATCGATAATTTTGACCCATACAATGTATTGTTGGCTGTTCATGCGACTTGTGACTGGGTCTGTGATCAGGGTCACAAATATCATTTATCACTTGATTGATTAATTGGCTCAAATGTTTAGTACGAGTGAATCTAACTCATCTCAAACTCTGAAGTGTGTCCGATGCGAACGGATCGATGAAGATCACTGAGATCGCAACCAGTCCACTCACACAAGACTTGCTGAATCACGATGTAAGTACACGGTTTCCACAAAAATATGACTGTTTTCAACACTGATAATAATCATAAATGTTTCTTGAGCATCAAATCATCATATTAGAGTGATTTCTGAAAGATCATGTGACACTGAAGACTGGAGTAATGATGCTGAAAATTCAGCTTTGATCACAGGAATAAATTACACACACTTTACTATATATTCACAAAGAAAACAGTTTTAAATTGGAATAATTTTTCACTGTTTTACTGTATTTTCACTGTATTACTGTAACAGTTGCAAACTCTTCCTGGGTCTCTCCGTCTGAGTCTGACTCCGGCTCAAACATGTGAGGCTGCACTCGCTACTGGGTGTTATTGACATTTTGCCTGAGAGAAATTCGGCTGTTATGTTCTAGTATCTGAGGCTCGTGTAAAGGCTCCGCCCTCTTCTGAACGGAGGCGGAGCTGCAGCTCATTTGCATTTAAAGGGACACACACAAAAACGGAGTGTTTTCCCTCGCATCCAAAAAGGGGAAATTTGACAAGCTGTAATAAAAAATCTGGGTGGTGTTTTGAGCTGAAACTTCACAGACACATTCTGAGAACATCAGAGATTTATATTACATCATGTGAAAATGGGCATAATAGGTCACCTTTCGTAAACCTTCACATCTATCTATCTATCTATCTATCTAGGACTGTTATATTTTGGATCAGGGGGGAATGTCAATATTTGTGTGGAAGGGAAAGAGGGCCAACAAGGCGGAGAGACAAGCAGCAATGACTCGAGCTCTGGTGAGTTTATTCCCTTCATTAATTCAGCTGATTCATTACAGGTTACACTTTATTATACAGTCCACTTTAGACATTCTCCTGACTATGAGTAACTGTGTACCTACGTGTCAACTATAGTCATTATATAGGGTTAGTAGAATAAGTTGAGCTGTAGTTGCACAGTCAGGAGAATGTCTGAAGTTTCACATGCAAGTGTTGTGTGCTAATGTGACTGATTCTGCAGGAGTTCATTAAACTGAAGGGATATCCTCTCAGCACTAAAGTGGAGTCTCTCAGTGACGGAGGGGAGTCGGCTCTGTTTAAACAGCTCTTCACGAGCTGGAGGGTCCGAGAGCAGACGACGGGTCTGGGCCGAACACACACCGTGGGGAGAATCGGTATGTGCCTCACACACACACTTTCAGGGGAAGGCCTGTGTTTTAATGTCTTTAAACCTCAGTTACACTGACCTTCTGTTTGTAATCTCCCCATTATAGTTTATATTCTATTTCACTGTTCCAGACCGCCAGAGACAGTCAATACATGGTGGAAGAAGTCGCTATATTTATCTCTGATATTAACCCACTGGTTGACCAGGGTTGTTTTCTAGGCGTTATGGCTGCTTCATGTTCCACATGCTGAAGTCCTGTGGACCTCATGGATGCCCATGTGTAATGCCCTGCCTGTCTAGGCATCGAGCATCTCAGGGAGGCTTTAACTGACCATTGCCCGGAATGTAATTTGATGCCGTTGAAGGTTAGGCAACAAAGGTTCGCAAAATTTGAACCTGAAGTTCAAGATTTTTTGGCACCATTAAAAACCAAGGTTCGGACTGGTAGCAAGCGCTCAGCTAGTAAAACTGAAGGGCCTCAGGAAGAAGCAGACCCCGGACTACACTATCCCACCTGACCACACTATCCCACCTGACCTATCTAATGCTGTGCAGGGCATTCAGGCTTCGTTGGCGAAGTCCTTTCCTTCTGCTACTCAGAGCACACCATGAGAACGTCTGTGCTTAACCCCTTGTTGACCAGGTTCGAGCCAGCAGCTGAATGTCCTAGGGATGAACTGGACACATTATCTCTGGCAGCCTCAGATTCATTCGTCGCTGATGAGTAGGACCGTTCTACACCCTGGAGGAGACTTCTGCTGTGCATGCCCAGTCTCAGTGCTCTCATAGTGATGAGGGTTCAAGCCAGGGATGGAAATTAACTTTTTTGTCCACCGGCCACTGTGGCTGGTGGATTTCAAAATCTACCAGCCACTCAATGTTTTTACCAGCCACTTTCTTGTTTTTAACCGACAATGTGTAACTGCATGTGAAAATGAATACTACAAGAATACTTAAGCAGTTTATTTAATCTCAAGTCTCAATGAAATACTGACATTTTCTCTTTCTCTCACCCTCGGCCTCATCCACCTAATCTGTCATTTATTTTTGTTTTGATGATAAATTGAGCCAGCCTCCAAAAGTAATTAACCTGTCCTGTGATTTTTTTTCTCTCACACAACACTCTCCAGACACGGATTTATGAGCTATAGTATGTTGGTTGCCTTTACATTAGAATAATATTTAATATAATCTAGATATGAAATGGAATAAATAGCATTCAATACAAAATGAATATGTCTCATATATTGAAATCAAGTTTTATGTGATAAAATATTTGCTTTGTTGTGCATTAGAACCACATCAGGCATTTAGTACAAAATAATTTATTGAAGCATCCCGATACTTCACCACGTGACAGCAGCTAGGCTCCTGATTGGTTAATGCGGCGCGAATTGACGCTAAAGTTCAGATTTTTCAACTCGGGCGGCAGACGCGAATTTGCGTCAAACGCGTGAATGCACAAAAGCACTCAATAAAATCATGCGCGCGGAACGCGTCAGACGCTCGAACTTGCCGCGCGAATGAGGCGTATTCGCATCTACCACGGCGCGCTCTACACCTCATTCGCGCCGCAGGAATTTTTTACGCGCGTAACGCGTCTTTGCATTGACTTAACAATGAAATCACTCGCGCCAGACGCTCTATTCTCGTCTGGTGTGAACGCACCATGATGTTTTCTCTGCAGACCTCTACGCCTGCGATGTAACGCCACATTTTGTTTGAAGGTGTGCCTCCTCTAAAAGTGTCCGCCGTCCGGGTGAAACAGTATGCTATTTTTATTTACCCGCCACGGTGGCCGGTAGGTGAAGCGAGTTTACCCGCCACAACACAAAATCACCCGCATTTGGCTGGTGGCGGGTGCTAATTTCCATCCCTGGTTCAAGCATTCAAGGTGCTGGTTCTTCAGTGGCATTTTCATTGCAAGACACAATCAAGTTGGCCCTTGCTAAGTTGAATTTGGACCTTCCTTCTCCATCACTGGGGCCTTCAAACCTCTTGCGTCGTCCGGTTGTCCGACCAGAGGATTTCCTGATACCAAGCTGTCCTGATTTTACTGATGTTGTTTTTTCAGTAACTATCAGGGAGACACATTCTGGTAAGGACGGACACCACCACAGTGGTATCTTTAATCAATCACCAAGGCCCACCAGGTCCCTGCCCTGTCTCCAGTTGACAAGAAGGCATTTGTTGTGGGCAAACAAGCACTTTCTTTCAGTCAGCAACTAATAATAATAATAATTCATTACATTTATATAGAGCTTTTCTCTGCACTCAAAGCGCTTTACATGGAAAGGGGAATCTCCTCATCCACCACCAATGTGCAGCATCCACCTGGATGATGCGACGGCAGCCACATTGCGCCAGAACACACACACACACACACACACACACACACACACCAGCTTACTGGTGGAGAGGAGACAGAGGGATGAAGCCAATCAGTATATATATATATGGGGATAATTAGGAGGCCATGATGGACAGAGGCTACTGGGCAAATGTGGCCAGGACACCGGGGTTACACCCCTACTCGTTTCGAAAGACATCCTGGGATTTTTTGTGGCCACAGAGAGTCAGGGCCTCGGTTTAACGTCTCATCCGAAGGACGGTGCTCTTTGACAGTATAGTGTCCCCGTCACTATACTGGGGCATTAGGACCCACACAGACCACAGGGTGAGCGCCCCCTGATGGCCTCACTAACACCTCTCACAGCAGAAACTAGTTTTCCCAGAAGGTCTCCCATCCAGATACTAACCAGGCTCAACCCTGCCTAGCTTCAGTGGGCATCAGTCTTGGGCTACAGGGTGATATGGCTGCCGGCTCAACTCAAATCCCCGGTCGCTGCAACAGTGTAGCAGACGTACTTTCCCGTTTAGAGCCGAGACTAGGGGAATGGTGTCTGCACAAGGAAGTTGTTCAGTCAATTTGGAGGAGGTAGGGAATAGTGGCCGTGGTCCTTATCGCCAGCAGGACAACGACTCGTTGTCCGCTATGGTTTCCAGCGCAGGAGGAGGAGGGTTCATTGGGCCCACGAATGAATGAATGAATGAATGAGGCATTTATATATAGCGCTTTCATATGTACTACTTTACACCCAAAGCGCTTTACAATCATATCAGGGGTTCTCTCCTCAACCAGCACCAGTGTGCAGCATCCACTTGGATGATGCGACGGCAGCCACAGTACAACGGCGCCAGTGCGCTCACCACACACCAGCTATAGTTGGAGAGGAGAGAGAGTGATAGAGCCAATTCAGTGGATGGGGATTATTAGGAGGCCATGATTGGCAGGGGCCAATGGGTGGAATGTGGCCAGGACACCGGGGTTACACCCCTACTCTTTACGAGAAGTGCCATGGGATTTTTAATGACCACAGAGAGTCAGGGCCTCGGTTTAACGTCTCATCCGAATGGCCAGCGCTTCTCCTCTATGTCTTTCCCCCAATTCCTCTCATTCGGTCCGTCCTGAGACAGGTGCAGGAGAAGCATCACAGGCTCATTCTAGTGGCTCCTTGTTGGCCAGCAATGCCTTGGTTCAATCTCTTATCAACTCTACCAACGGGGCCGCGTCACCCCTGCCACCGGGAAGGATCTGGCCCCTGGGGTTGAGAGGGTGCTCTCTCAGTGTTCAGCGGGAGTAAGGAATACGTTATGAGTGCTAGAGCACCTTCAACACGTCATACGTCACTGTTTGTCTCTTAGTGCACAGATCGTGCCCTCGACCCAGTTGATTGTCCCATCAGTGTGGTGCTGGACTTTTGTAGTACTTTTCTTGGATACTGGACGTTCTCCAGCCACACTTAAAGTGCTTGTGGCTGGCCTGTCTGCTTATCGGGATCCTATGGAGCAGGTGTCAATTGGTGCAAATGGGCTAGTGGCTTTTCTCAAAGGAGCCGTACGGCTAAAGCCACCAGTACGGTAAGTGTGTACCCTGTGGGATTTATGGGTGGTGTTGGACAGTCTGTGTTCAGCACCTTTTGAACCTATTAAACAGGCAGATGTTAGAAGCCTTTCTATGAAGACAGCATTTCTGTTAGCCATAACATCAGCCAAAAGGGTCGGTGAGTGTCCACAGTATCTGTGTTTTTAAGGTGGAATAAATGACGACATGTAAGTTTGTGAAGCCGTTTGTGTTTCCGTTCCCCATTTGAATGATTGACTCTCCTTCCCTGTTTGGATTCTTATCATCTTCTTCCTGTTTGGATTCATGATTCTTGTTTTGTTCACATCATTCCTACATGTATTTTCTGTGTTTGTGTGTTCATTTAATAAACTATTGCTCAACATTTCCATATCTGGCTTCCTAATCCAGCTGTCTAGTAGACTAAGGAAGCTTGTTCCCCCTTCGTAATTAAAAAATACACAATTTAAATGCGACTTTTTGTCTTACAATTCTGATTTTTTTTTGCAGTCATATACGAATCACACAGTTAGCTAAAAATTTATTAATTTAAACAATGTAATAGTTTAAGGCGGAAACAATGAGCTCATTGAAGTAATAAATACATGTTTGTTAACAAATGATTATGACATATAGAAAATTGTAGCATTGTGTCTTGTTTAATGACAGATCTATCAAAATTATGTGAATTTTTTAGCAAATGTCTGCCAATGAGGTCAGAAAAAAATACTTAATTCAAAGGGAAAACATTATTATTTTTCTGACCCCAATGGCCCAAATATTTGTTTTTGTTTTAGGCAAAAATTCACTTAATTTTGATGCATTTTTTCAGAAAACACTTAATATCTTCAGTAATTTTGCTTCTACAGTAAATGTATTTTGATTTAAGAATGTTTGTATTGGAAAACGAGACAAAATCCTGAGGAAAACCCTGGCTTTTTGCAGTGCACCAAATGTATTTTGTAGAGGAGTGTAAAAATGTGACATGTGGAGATGTGTAAAGTGTTCAGCTCACTTACTTAAAAAATGGAGTAAACCTGTTGCCTTAAAATTATTAAGTAAATAAACTCAATACTTAATTGAAAAAAAAAAGTTATGTGACCCTGACAATTCCACATTACTTATTTTTTTCGATTAAGCATGAAGTTTATTAACTTAATCATTTTAAGGCAACGGGTTTCAGCAAAAGAAATGTAAGTTAAGTCAACTGGTCACTGTTTACAGTATGGTAGTTCTGCTCTACATGCAGCTGTGATGTTCATTTCATGAGGTCGTTAATCTTTGCTGTTTCTTCTCATTAATCAGCTGATGTCCCTCAAGAGAAGTTTGATGCCAGTCGGATGCATGTGATGCCCGATGTTGCAGCGCAAGAGCGTATGGTGGATGATGGCAGCGGACAGAAGCAGGTAAAGAGGATTACTAAGATCTGATCAGCTAACAGGTGGACTCTGCAATCAGAACACGAGATAATGGGTGATAGAAATAGACATGAGTCTTCTCCATCCTCAGGTGTGGCGCATTGAGGATTTGGAGATGGTGGAGGTGGATCCTGAAATGCATGGATACTTCTATGGAGGAGATTGCTATCTGATTCTGTACAGCTATGATGTTAATGGCAGGAGAAGCCACATCCTTTACATGTGGAAGGTAAAGTAACATTTCCCTCATGCATGTAGAACAGAGGAAAGAGTTTTATATTATTAACCCTTTTACACCCTGAAGGCATTTAATGATTTCACATCTGAGTGGCATACTTAAAAGTATGATTTATGACTCTACAAAAAAAAAGTTATCATCAAGTGCACGGTCTCATTTGATAGAAAACCTTTCAAATTTAAAAAAAAAGAGAGGTTCATTTTTGGAGGTTCTTATATTACATCACTGCTGAGAAAACCAGCATATTTTGTTATTATACGTGGTTCACATGATGACTATTAGAAAGCATATTCGGAATGTCGTAAAATCAACTTTGGGCTTATTTATAATCATGTCAACTGCATCTGAACCAAATTTTGTGTTGATATCTCAAAGCAATCAAACGTTCTGGCGTTTGGTTGCACATGAATGATGAAAGTAACCCTATGGTTCTCTCCTGCAGGGCCGGCATGCGTCCCAGGATGAAGTGACGGCCTGTGCGTATCAGTCCGTGACCCTGGACCAACAGTACGGTGGCCAGCCGGTTCAAGTCAGAGTCTGCATGGGGAAGGAACCGCGACACTTCATGGCCATTTTCAAGGGCAAAATGGTGATCTTTGAGGTAGTGAAGCACTTGCTGTCTGTCGTAACTCAAGCATTAATTGCACTAAATGGTATATCTAGATATAATAGTTCTGTGCTCAACTACTATCTTTTTACTTTTTAACTTTCACAGATATGGCCTTAATACACCAAAGTGACATTCCGTAATCATATTATAAGCAAAATTGACTTTTAATGAATCATTTGCTGCAGAAAGCGGTTCAACTTTTAATCCCATTGAAACGACACAACCCAATCAACATGTTTTTTTTTAGTATAGATCTGAACTTAATTGGTCGTTATTGACGAATTTGGTCTTGGTGGACTAGATCTGCTACGCTGCTGCTGCAGAGCAAGTATGGACTTGCTACTGCTAATAGATACACAGACACACTTCTGTGAGAATGTAAGATCTGCTGCTGCTGCATAAATAGTCTTACATCAATCCGTAGCAGATCTGAGTAGGTGGGGCTGGGGAGGTGGAGGGGTTCAGAAGACAGATCTGGGCAGGTGGAGGGGTTCAGAGGACAGATCTTGGCAGGTGGAGCTGGGGAGGTGGAGGGGTTCAGAGGACAGATATGGGCAGGTGGAGGGGTTCAGAGGACAGATCTTGGCAGGTGGAGCTGGGGAGGTGGAGGGGTTCAGAGGACAGATATGGGCAGGTGGAGGGGTTCAGAGGACAGATCTTGGCAGGTGGAGCTGGGGAGGTGGAGAGGTTCAGAGGATAGATCTGGGCAGGTGGAGCTGGGGAGGTGGAGAGGTTCAGAGGATAGATCTGGGCAGGTGGAGGGGTTCAGAGGACAGATCTTGGCAGGTGGAGCTGGGGAGGTGGAGGGGTTCAGAGGACAGATCTGGTCAGGTGGAGCTGGGGAGGTGGAGGTTCAGAGGACAGATCTGGGCAGGTGGAGCTAGGGAGGTGGGGGGGTTCAGAGGACAGATCTGGGCAGGTGGTGCTTGGGAGGTGGAGGGGTTCAGAGGTCAGATCTGGGCAGGTGGAGCTTGGGGAGGTGGAGGTTCAGAGGACAGATCTGGGCAGATGGAGGTGGGGAGATGGAGGGGTTCAGATGACAGATCTGGGCAGGTGGAGCTGGGGAGGTGGAGGTTCAGAGGACAGATCTGGGCAGGTGGAGCTGGGGAGGTGGAGGGGTTCAGAGGACAGATCTGGGCAGGTGGAGCTTGGGAGGTGGAGGGGTTCAGAGGCCAGATCTAGGCAGGTGGAGCTGGGGAGGCGGAGGTTCAGAGGACAGATCTGGGCAGATGGAGGTGGGGAGATGGAGGGGTTCAGATGACAGATCTGGGCAGGTGGAGCTGGGGAGGTGGAGGGTTCAGAGGACAGATCTGAGCAGGTGGAGCTGGGGAGGTGGAGGGGTTCAGAGGACAGATCTGAGAAGGTTGAGCTGGGGAGGTGGAGGGTTCAGAGGACCGATCTGGGCAGATGGAGCTGGGGAGATGGAGGGGTTCAGAGGACAGATCTGAGCAGGTTGAGCTGGGGAGGTGGAGGGTTCAGAGGAACGATCTGGGCAGGTGGAGCTGGGGAGGTGGAGGGGTTCAGAGGACAGATCTGGGCAGATGGAGGTGGGGAGATGGAGAGGTTCAGATGACAAATCTGGGCAGGTGGAGCTGGGGAGGTGGAGGGTTCAGAGGACAGATCTGAGCAGGTGGAGCTGGGGAGGTGGAGGGGTTCGGAGGACAGATCTGAGAAGGTTGAGCTGGGGAGGTGGAGGGATCAGAGGACCGATCTGGGTAGATGGAGCTGGGGAGATGGAGGGGTTCAGAGGACAGATCTGAGCAGGTTGAGCTGGGGAGGTGGAGGGTTCAGAGGACCGATCTGGGCAGGTGGAGCTGGGGAGGTGGAGGGGTTCAGAGGACAGATCTGGGCAGATTGAGCTGGGGAGATGGAGGGGTTCAGAGGACAGATCTGAGCAGGTTGAGCTGGGGAGGTGGAGGGTTCAGAGGACCGATCTGGGCAGGTGGAGCTGGGGAGGTGGAGGGGTTCAGAGGACAGATCTGGGCAGGTGGAGGGGGTCAGATGGCAGATCTGGGCAGGTGGATCTGGGGAGTTGGAGGGGTTCAGAGGACAGATCTGGGCAGGTGGAGCTTGGGAGGTGGAGGGCCAGAGGACAGATCTGGGTAGGTGGAGCAGGGGAGGAGGAGGATTCGTAGGACAGATCTGGGCAGGTGGAGCTGGGGAGGTTGAGGGTTCATAGGACAGATGTGGGCAGGTGGGGGGTTTCAGAGGAGAGATCTGGGCAGGTGGAGCTGGGGTGGTGGAGGTGTTCAGAGGACAGATCTGAGCAGGTGGAGGGTTTCAGAGGACAGATCAGGGCAGGTGGAGCTGGGGTGGTGGGAGGTTTCAGAGGACATATCTGGGCAGGTGGAGCTAGGGTGGTGGAGGGGTTCAGAGGACAGATCTGACCAGGTTGAGCTGGGGAGGTTGAGGGTTCAGAGGACAGATCTGGGCAGGTGGAGCTGGGGAGGTGGAGGGATAAGAGGACACATCTGGGCCGGTGGAGGGTTCATAGGACAGATCTGGGAAGGTGGAGCAGGGGAGGTGGAGGGTTCAGTGGACAGATCTGGGCAGGTGGAGCTGGTGAGGTGGAGGGTTTAGAGGACAGATCTGGGCAGGTGGAGCTGGGGAGGTTGAGGGTTCATAGGACAGATCTGGGCAGGTGGAGCGGGGGAGGTGGATGGGGCTCAGCGGACAGATCTGGGCAGGTGTAGCTGGTGAGGCGGAGGGTTCAGAAGACAGATCTGGGCAGGTGGAGGGTTCAGAGGAGAGATCTGGGCAGGTGGAGCTGGGGAGGTGGAGGGATCAGAGGACAGATCTGGGCAGGTGGAGCGGGGGAGGTGGAGGGTTCAGAGGACAGATCTGGGCAGGTGGAGCTGGGGAGGTTGAGGGTTCATAGGACAGATCTGGGCAGGTGGAGCTGGGGAGGTGGAGGGATCCGAAGACCGATCTGGGCAGGTGGAGCAGGGGAGGTGGAGGGATCAGAGGACAGATCTAGGCAGGTGGAGCTGGGGAGGTGGAGGGTTCATAGGACAGATCTGGGCAGGTGGAGCTGGGGAGGTGGATGGGGCTCAGAGGACCGATCTGGGCAGGTGGAGCAGGGGAGGTTGAAGAGTTCAGAGGACAGATCTGGGCAGGTGAATTCGGGGAGGTGGAGGGTTCATATGACAGATCTGGGCAGGTGGAGCTGGGGAGGTGGATGGAGCTCAGAGGACAGATCTGGGCAGGTGGAGCAGGGGAGGTGGAGGAATCAGAGGACAGATCTGGGCAGGTGGAGCTGGGGAGGTGGAGGGATCAGAGGACAGATCTGGGCAGGTGGAGCTGGGGAGGTGGAGGGGCTCAGAGGACAGATCTGGGCAGGTGAAGCTGGGGAGGTGGAGGGTTCAGAGAACAGATCTGGGCAGGTGGAGCTGGGGAGGTGGATGGGGCTCAGAGGACAGATCTGGGCAGGTGGAGCTGGGGAGGTGGAGGGTTCAGAGGACAGATCTGGGCAGGTGGAGCTGGGGAGGTGGATGGGGCTCAGAGGACAGATCTGAGCAGGTGTAGCTGGGGAGGTAGAGGGTTCAGAGGACAGATCTAGGCAGGTGGAGCTGGGGAGGTGGAGGGTTCAGAGGACAGATCTGGGCAGGTGGAGCTGGGGAGGTGGAGGGATCAGAGGACATATCTGGGCAAGTGGAGCTGGGGAGGGGGAGGGTTCATAGGACAGATCTGGGCAGGTGGAGCGGGGGAGGTGGAGGATTCAGAGGACAGATCTGGGCAGGTGGAGCTGGGGAGGTTGAGGGTTCATAGGACAGATCTGGGCAGGTGGAGCTGGGGAGGTGGAGGGATCCGAAGACCGATCTGGGCAGGTGGAGCAGGGGAGGTGGAGGGATCAGAGGACAGATCTAGGCAGGTGGAGCTGGGGAGGTGGAGGGTTCATAGGACAGATCTGGGCAGGTGGAGCTGGGGAGGTGGATGGGGCTCAGAGGACAGATCTGGGCAGGTGGAGCAGGGGAGGTTGAAGAGTTCAGAGGACAGATCTGGGCAGGTGAATTCGGGGAGGTGGAGGGTTCATATGACAGATCTGGGCAGGTGGAGCTGGGGAGGTGGATGGAGCTCAGAGGACAGATCTGGGCAGGTGGAGCAGGGGAGGTGGAGGAATCAGAGGACAGATCTGGGCAGGTGGAGCTGGGGAGGTGGAGGGATCAGAGGACAGATCTGGGCAGGTGGAGCTGGGGAGGTGGAGGAGCTCAGAGGACAGATCTGGGCAGGTGAAGCTGGGGAGGTGGAGGGTTCAGAGAACAGATCTGGGCAGGTGGAGCTGGGGAGGTGGATGGGGCTCAGAGGACAGATCTGGGCAGGTGGAGCTGGGGAGGTGGAGGGTTCAGAGGACAGATCTGGGCAGGTGGAGCTGGGGAGGTGGATGGGGCTCAGAGGACAGATCTGAGCAGGTGTAGCTGGGGAGGTAGAGGGTTCAGAGGACAGATCTAGGCAGGTGGAGCTGGGGAGGTGGAGGGTTCAGAGGACAGATCTGGGCAGGTGGAGCTGGGGAGGTGGAGGGATCAGAGGACATATCTGGGCAAGTGGAGCTGGGGAGGGGGAGGGTTCATAGGACAGATCTGGACACGTGGAGCAGGGGAGGTGGAGGGCTCAGAAGGCAGATCTGGGCAGGTGGAGCAGGGGAGGTGGAGGAGTTCAGAGGACAGATCTGGGCAGGTGGAGCTGGGGAGGTGGAGGGTTCAGAGGACAGATCTGGGCAGGTGGAGCAGGGGAGGTGGAGGGGTTCAGAGGAAAGATCTGGGCAAGTGGAGCTGGGGAGGTGGAGGGTTCATAGGACATATCTGGGCAGGTGGAGCTGGGGAGGTGGAGGGATCAGAGGACAGATCTGGGCAGGTGGAGCTAGGGAGGTGGAGGGTTCATAGAACAGATCTGGGCAGGTGGAGCAGGGGAGGTGGAGGGTTCAGAGGACAGATCTGGGCAGGTGGAGCAGGGGAGGTTGAGGAGTTCAGAGGACAGATCTGGGCAGGTGAATTTGGGGAGGTGGAGGGTTCATAGGACAGATCTGGGCAGGTGGAGCTGGACGGAGCTCAGAGGACAGATCTGGGCAGATGGAGCTGGGGAGGTGGAGGGTTCAGAGGACAGATCTGGGCAGGTGGAGCTGGGGAGGTTGAGGGTTCATAGGACAGAGCTGGGCAGGTGGAGCAGGGGAGGTGGAGGGATCAGAGGACAGATCTGGGCAGTTGGAGCAGGGGAGGTGGAGGGATCAGAGGACAGATCTGGGCAGGTGGAGCTTGGGAGGTTGAAGGTTCATAGGACAGATCTGGGCAGGTGGAGCTGGGGAGGTGGAGGGATCCGAAGACAGATCTGGGCAGGTGGAGCTGGGGAGGTGGAGGGATCAGAGGACAGATCTAGGCAGGTGGAGCTGGGGAGGTGGAGGGATCATAGGACAGATCTGGGCAGGTGGAGCTGGGGAGGTGGATGGGGCTCAGAGGACAGATCTGGACAGGTGGAGCTGGGGGGTTGGAGGGTTCAGAGGACAGATCTAGGCAGGTGGAGCTGGGGAGGTGGAGGGTTCAGAGGACAGATCTGGGCAGGTGGAGCTGGGGAGGTGGAGGGGTTCAGAGGACAGATCTGTGCAGGTGGATGGGGTTCAGAGGACAGATCTGGGTAGGTGGAGCTGGGGAGGTGGAGGGATCAGAGGACAGATCTGGGCAAGTGTAGCTGGGGACGTGGAGGGGTTCAGAGGACAGATCTGGGTAGGTGGAGCTGGGGAGGTGGAGGGGATCATAGGACATATCTGGGCAGGTGGAGCTGGGGAGGTGGAGGGGATCATAGGACATATCTGGGCAGGTGGAGCTGGGAAAGGGGAGGGTTCAGGTGAGGGTTCTGGTTCTGGTTCAGGTGAACTCTGATAGTCCTGCAGGACCATCTTACAGCAAACACTGAACCAGACTGTTTAAACGTTGAGCAAGCAATCTCATTTGCTGCAGAATCAGCAGAGGCCAATCCGCTTGTGCTATGCAATGATAATGTGATTGCTTGTAGATCGATCAGCCTGGAGTTTCATGACTGAACTAGATATATTTTACAAAATAATTTGATCTCTAAAATTGCTAGAAAATCCAAGCCATATGTCTAACCAAGTTGTGTTCCAAATTTGAAGTTGATATCACAAAAATTGAGCCGGTAAAAGGCTTTAAAGGGGGGGGGGGGGGGTGAAATGCTATTTCATGCATAGTGAGTTTTTTACACTGTTAAAGAGTTGGATTCCCAATGCTAAACATGGACAAAGTTTCAAAAATTAAGTTGTGCGTTTGATTGAGTATACGGTCCTAAGGGCACTTCTCTCGGAAGGGCGCGCGCGCAGCTGTAGAGCGATAGCCGTAACCTATACCCATCAAAGCGCTGTGCATCGGCTGCGCTGCAATATGTCACCAAAGAAGTGTGTTTTCGGTTGCCAAGGCAAGACAACACTGCACAGATTCCCAAAGAATCAAGCGTAAGGGACCAGTGGATGGAGTTTGTTTTTCCAGAACATCAACACAGTTGTGCAAGTGTTCTTGTTTGTTCCATGCATTTCGAGGATGATTTTTTTATAAACAAGGCCCAGTTCGAAGCCGGATTTGCTAATCGTTTAGTTCTCAAGGATAGAGCAGTCCCAACACTAAAGGTTAACGGTCTTGCGTTGGAACCGCAGGCGGTGAGTAGAACTGCTTCAAATATCTGTGTGTGTCTATTGGCGTGTAACTTAAGCACAGCAAGTAGGCTAAACAACATGATCACGTGTAGTTAATGTATCTATGGAGCATGCGATGTATGGTGTGTGTTTGTTTAAATACATTTGTTTAGGTGGCGTCCTGCTGTAGTTGTTGCTGCTGCTGCTCGTCATCAGTTTCAGCCTCGGGATCTGATTCTGGATCAAAAATGTATGGCTGAATTTGATTGTTAGCCATTGTTTGTTTTAGGATGTCACAGCTTCCAGACTCTCTCGGCGTAAAAGCTTCGCGCGCTCGTGATTATTTAGCTCCGCCCACACGGCACGCCTCCACCCGCTCTGCTTTTTCTGGAAAGACTCGGTACAGCCTATCTTTCTTTTATAACTATAATAAAACTAAAGACTTTTTGGAGATATGATGGATGCAATATTACTCTATAGGTACTCAAGATTAACATGAGATTGACTGAAACTGAGTGTTTCACCCCCCCTTTAAAGTAGCGTTTCCATGGTAACACAATGTCCAATTTCAAAACGACAATGTTTATTAAAATATTTGATGGAGAAAAAAGGCAATGAAGCAAAAGACAAACCTGCTTAAAGGAACCTGACTCTTAACAGGCTATGCTATGTCAAAACATATAAGAATTGTATTGATTAAGCTGATTTTAATTGAGTAAAATGAACAATCAACAAAAAATTACTTAGTGTAATGTTATATAATCACTATTCAACCTACTGAATCCCTTGAGATTATGCTTATTTTGGATACCTCAACATCCTTCATCATGCAAAAAGCATCATAGGTCAAAGGCATCCATTCGAATGTGAATAAATTCCAGGTTTCTGAAATTGCTGTTGTTTTCTAATAAATAAAGTTCCTTTGTTTCCATTGTAGGGAGGGACGTCCCGAAAGAGTGGCCAAGAGCCGGAACCCCCTGTGCGCCTGTTTCAGATCTGTGGCTCTCGCCCAAGCAATTCAAAAGCAATAGAGGTTCCAGCTCTGTCAGGCTCTCTCAACTCCAATGATGTCTTCCTTTTAAAAAGCCAGAATGGCGTCTACCTGTGGTATGGCAAAGTACGTAGTCTTCCTACAGAAGTTGAATAACCAATAGTATTTTAATGGAAAAACACTCAGCAGCGATCACAAAGTCCAGCACTACTCTTCACATAATGGGCATTCACACCGGAGGAACCTCTTCATCATTCCTAGAACTATTGCTAGAAGTTTGCGGATGTCGGCGCGTTCGCACCGCAGGAACTAGGAATGATTTTAGTTCTAGGAACTCCTTTTGGAGGAACTAATTTACTCCTACTTCAGAGTCGCTCTAAACCAGCACTATAGGAACTACCAGTGACTTTAGTGTTCTCTGATTGGCCGAACGTACGCGAAACACCAGCACCTACCATTATTAAAAAAGCAGTGTAAACGCACAGATTATAGCCTACATATTTACTCCAGAAACTAACTCTACGAACATGTAAAACAGTGATAGATGGAACTCTCAACCTTTACGCTGAGGAGAAAATCCAACACAGCTTTGAGGAGACCAAGAGAAACATGATTATGTATTTCTGCTCAGCAACACTGGACATCAACCACACGGCAAACGCTAATAACTTTATTACTGTCTACTTTCTATGTATAACAGTTCATTCTAATGACGTATTCGACAGGACTGTTAGACAGATCGTAAACTAATGAACAGGAGAACGCGAGCACTGTGAGCTTAGTCGTTCTCAACGCCGTCACAATAAACGTCACAGCAACGAGCGAGTCTTACGTCACTTCAGGGAACCACACTGGTGGATAGTTCCTATAACTGAGTTGCTAGAGCTATCCGGTGCGGAAGCCCCTATAATGGACATTTTTGGGAGAGCAGTACTAACCTCTTGATAACCTCTCAGGGCTCCAGTGGTGATGAAAGAGCCATGGCTAAAGAGGTGAGCTCCTTCATTCAGCGAGGCTTGTCTGAGCAAATCATGGCTGAGGGACAGGAACCAAATGAGTTCTGGGAAATCTTAGGTGGAAAAGGACCATATGCAAGCGACAGAAGGTATACGGAACAAAGTGTTGTGTTAATAGATTCAATGGGAAATAAGTTCTATTCTTGGCTGTTGATCTCACTTCTTCTCAAAGATTACAGATGGTTACTTTCGATCATCAACCACGCCTCTTCGAATGCTCCAATAAGACGGGCCAGTATATTGCGACTGAGGTGACCCAGTTCGCACAGGATGATCTGAGAGAGGATGACGTAATGCTTTTGGACACATGGGATCAGGTAGAGCAACACATTTTGAACTAAAACTATACATTTCAATTGCAATGAAAAATTAGGTTTGGTGGCTACAAGCCTTGATATGCTCATGGTGAAGTTCTTTTTCATTCTTCATTTAAGGGTAAAAAGAATTAGAAACACCTTTGCAGCAATATTCTGTTAGTGAACATCCCAACGCCGCCCACATTTAGATGAATAAGTTCATATGTGCTGCACTATCCACTCAATAACAAAATAAACAACACAGAAATGTTAAAAAAAAAACAGCAGTTCAGAAAGCATCTGATAGCGATGTGTTTGCAGCAGCTCTGAGATTCCAGTCACTTTTATTCAGACAGCACTTTATACAGTAGATTGCTTTAAAGCAGCAGGTTTACACATGAACAACAGTGTCAGTGTCTCTTTCAGTTAGAATCACAACTTCAGTTTCTACTATAAATCAGCTTTCCAGTGTTTATACCTGTGGAAGGCGGAGCCTCAGAGCCACACCCACCTATTATATCATCACCACTGCACTGACCAATGGGAGTGCGAAGGCGTTTACCAGCCTTAGCAAACTATTCCAGAAAGTTTACTTTGGCAAGCTGTTTCAAACTCCAGATAAACTTTGTTTTGGCCTGATTTTATTTGAAATGACGTCACATCAGTTCGTTGAGTATATTGGGACTTTTAAGGGTGATATCCCAAAAAATGTTACTTTCAATATCCTAACATCTAGATAATAATAATACAATCACTGCCATAACAATAAAACATTTGATCTTTGAACACTTTTAAATAGGGGTGTCCCGATCCGATGACGCGATCGGAAATCGGGCCCGATCACTTGGTTTCAGACTCGATCGGAATCGGACGTTACCTCCCGATCAGGACTCGGATATATGTAAATTAGGGGTGTAACGGTACATGTATTCGTAATTATTGAACCGTTTCCGAGGCTTCCGGTTCGGTACGCATACAAACCGAACGATTCCTAGGACCATTTTTCCTGCAGACAAAATCCGCGCTAGCGCGATCACCACAACGCTGCGCAACATCAAATGGCAAACGTAATGAAAGCGGAACGAAACTGCGCTGCTCATTATATTGCGCTTAACGGACCATTATCAGTTCGGACCAGCAACATCTGTGCAGCGCGAGATCAAGCGACACTGTGCTTAGAGATCCAGTGAAGAAAACATTTGAATTCGCCACTGAAGTAATAACATCGCTGCGAGATCTAGAGAAGCATTCACATTTCTCCGTTATTATTAACCGTAGATCTCTATTAGATCAAACAGCGCTGACGTGGGAACCAGGAGAAACATTGTGCCGTGAATGAACATGGATTAAATGTTGCACTTCAAAACTCAAATATTATATAAATATATATTTAAATGTTATTTTTAATGTGATTACCAAAACATTATTTGTTCATCCTTCAAAGATTACCCCCATTTATAAACCTGAAACTTTCAAGATGTAGGAAAACTCAAACTTATTTAAAAAAGTTTTTCTTTTAATAAATAGGAAATTTCTATGGCATTTCTTTCTTTTTGCTGTATCGTATCGAACCGAACCGCACATTTTGTGAACTGTTACACCCCTATATATATTCTCATTATTTTTTTATACACTTTTAAAACATTTTTATTTTTTGTTTACATGCCTGCCGGGTATTTTAAGTTGAGTTGCATTTGTTTTTATATTAGACTTTTTCTATATTTACTGTTGCAGTAAAGTCCAAAAGTGAAGATTTTGTTATTTATTTCTTGATTGTTCAAGCTACCTCACAGAAGTGCTCTGTTTGTTAACAGAGTTGTTGAATGTTAAAATAAGGTGAATTAAATAAAAAATAAGGAACATCCTGGATCTGTTTTTTCTCTCTTCTTTATTCTTTTTTTATCTATTATATAAGTATCGGATCGGATCGGGACTCGGTATCGGTAGATACTCAAAATCAAATGACTCGGACTCGGACTCGAGGGCAAAAAAACCTGATCGGGACATCCCTACTTTTAAAACCTTGCAGTCCTTACTTCAGCATTTGGTTCTTCTATGTTTTTATATGGATAGGAAATAAACTCCAGGTTTTGTTGGTCAATGGCTCAGTCTATTTCAGTTCCTCAAAATAGCAACGGTCCATCAATGCTCCTGAACACACTCCTGGTTCTCAGACCAGCAGCGCATGGGCCACAGATGGGCACAGATGCATTTGCTATTTTAACAACGTGGTGCAGGACGAGAAAATGAAAACTGCGTCGGGCTGAAACTAACTAAACACACTTGTGTCGAGCCTGGCGCTGCATTGCACCGAGTGTGTGATAGGGCCCTTGATCTTTAAACACTTGTAAAACCTTGCAGTCCTTACTTCAGCGTTTGGTTCTTCTAGGTATTTCTATGGATTGGAAATGAAGCAAATGATGTGGAGCGTCGGGAATCTGTGACAACATGCCAGGAATACCTGCGGACTCACCCTGGATCCCGAGACCCCGACACTCCTGTAATGATCGTGAAGCAGGGCTTCGAGCCTCCTACCTTTACTGGGTGGTTCACTGCCTGGGACCCTACCAAATGGAGTGTAGGTTTGATTTCCATTGAAATAACATAGTGAAATATGAATAATGTGTTCAAGCATACTAAGGAGTCATTCTCTGCAGATGAACAACCTCTAACTCTTTTATTCTTGCATTAGGGTGGCAAAACCTATGAGCAACTGAAGGAGGAGTTAGGAGAGATTACATTGCCAACTAAAGTTGTTTCTGTATGATCTTATCTACCCTAGAATATAACAAACTTTTCAGTCCATATTTACATGATTTGCATAAAAGATTTGCATAAAATGTTCATTTCCCCTGACAGGAATCCTCTGTTGAAGAGAATAAAAGCATCACACATTATCCACTGGAAATGCTGATGAACAAACTGGCTGGGGAACTGCCTGAGAATGTGGACCCCGCACACAGAGAGGTGCGTTACGCTTTATTATATCACAGCTTTCCGGAGCTCAAACAGACACTCAAGCAGCACTAGTTGGTGCTTTTGAAAAAACCTGCTTTTGCTCTGAATCAGGAGTGATCAGCTGAAGTTCCAAAAGATCCGGTCTCTATATTCCCTTCCCAGCAGAGATCCGGACAAGAGTAGAGTTATACATTTCCATCTTCAGTAGTACTTCTTCAAAACCTTAAACAGCCATAATAACCATTAAAGACGAGGATATTGGGTCCCGAGAGCCAAAGCAGTGGCGTCTGTGTTCTGGCTGGAGCCAAGCCATTTCAGAACCGGATCACGGTCCACTATTTGTGGATTCCTGCTCTAAATCAGTCTCCCAAATCTAGTGCAAAAAAATTATTTCTCACTGAGTCTTTTTGACTTGTTTTACAGTATGAATTGCAAAACATTCTTAAATCAAGACACATTTACTTGAGAGGCAAAATGACTGCAGATATCAAGTCTTGTGTGATGAGGTTCGTAATGTGGAAGAAGGAGAAGACAGGGTTGGCTTCGAGGAACTCACAAACTCTTTATTCTTTCCCAAAATACGGCATATGCAGAATGCGGCCGGAGGATTTTGTCCTTGAGATGCTGAGAAGTAGCCGGTGGCCCGAACAACCCGAAAGGAAGCGTAACAAATTAGATTAATCCAAACGGCGTAATGAAGGCTGTTTTTTTCTTTAGATAGAGGAGATAAGAGGATCTGCCAAAAACCCTTTCGTTAGATCCAGTGTTGAATAAAAATGAGCTGTATCAAGCAATTCATCAACACGTCACACGGCATTGGATACTCGTCGAATTTTGAAATGCTTGTAAATCTCGTATTCTTTTAAGAGACGAGACGGTGAGGAGGAACAACGATTTGAGTGTCAGAAACTTGAGTGGAAACTCCTCAATAGGCTCAAAGGGAGCAAGCCATGGCCAGATCAAATGCGTTACCCTAGTGTGTACTACAGGCCTCAGTGTACCATGGAGGAAACGTGTTATTAATAGGTCACTCCCTAAAGACATCCACCCAACGGGATGTGCAACTCTGGCTTTAAGGCAGATGGGGATAACCCTGCAGAGAACTGCTCCACCACAGGACCCACTGGGCAGTTTTCGAGCTAGCGACAGGTCTGCGCCCCGGCTTTGGGAATCAGGGATATACAGTCAGACCAACATTTCTCACATTATCACAGTTTATTTGCTAATTGCTATAGTTTAGAAAATGGTAATAAAATATGAACAGAACTCAGAGTTATCAAATCTATTTCACTGGTTTTGTCCGTCCTTCTGTTAGACTCTCACACATGAATTATGTTGAATATCTGTCAGCTGTTAAATTTAACTACACAATTAGATAATACCAGTTTAGCTCAACCAGTGACCAAGCAATGCTTCATGTTGTTCAGTCTGTGGTGTAAAAAGGTCATTAGCAATTAAAGAAAAAACATGGAAAACATGGTCAGGTCAAAGTGTCTGAATCCTTTTTGGTCCCAAATGTTTATAAATGTTACTGGTAGTCACTGTATGAAGAGTTTTTGGGTATAATATGTCAGTTTATTTTATTTTGCTCTCCTCACTTACATAAATGAACTATAGTGTCCTGCACACACTAGTAAAAAAAATATCAAAAATGATATCTGGTGTCTGAATAGTGTTTGGTTTGACTGTAAGCCGCTCTGAGTGAAAGCCTTTTCCCTGAGACCACAGAAAGATTTGGTGCGCCAGTTTGCAAATGTCGCTTGCTTAGTTGGGGACACTTAATATTCAACAATATTATTGATCTCCTGCATTGACACCATTATATGAGAACTGAGCTGAGCTGGACGATGACATCACGGTTTACTCCAGAACGGCTATATGTATAAATGACCTTAATTAATAACTTTTTTACAACAAAAATGAACCATCACTGAACTTACTGAAGCTGGACTGTGACGCTATTTTCTTCTGGAAACAAACTTTGTTGCATTATTTTCCTATTATCTCTGTAAAGCTGCTTTGGTAAATGGTAAATAGACTGCATTTATATGGCGCTTTCACAGACCCAATGGCCACCAAAGCGCTTTACATTTTGCCTCTCATTCACCCATTCACTCACTCATTCATACACGACGGCGTATGAAACACTCTGTGTTGTAAAAAGTGCTACATAAATAAAGGTGACTTGGCTTGGCTTGGCTTGGCTTGGCTTGGCTTGGCTTGACTCGGCTAGACTTGGCTTGGCTTGGCTTGACTCGGCTAGACTCGACTTGGCTCGACTTGGTTTGGTTTGGTTTGGTTTGGCTTGACCTGGCTTGGCTTGGCTTAACTTGGCTTGACTCGGCTTGACTCGACTCGGCTTGACTTGACTTGACTTGGCTTGGCTTGGCTTGACTCGGCTAGACTTGGCTTGGCTTGGCTTGGCTTGGCTTGACTTGACTCGACTAGACTCGACTTGGCTCGACTTGGTTTGGTTTGGTTTGGCTTGGCTTGGCTTAACTTGGCTTGACTCGGCTTGACTCGACTTGACTTGACTTGACTTGACTTGACTTGACTTGACTTGACTTGACTTGGCTTGACTCGGCTTGACTCGGCTTGACTCGACTTGAC